AACAGTGGTGCTCAGTTTCATCAGTTTACAATAATATGTGTCACAGTGATAATCAGATTGTTTAACTCTCAAGATGTAGGTGAGAGAAACTGGTATTTGTTTTTGTGAATCGTTTGTATCACAGTGATCTGTATTTGAACTCTTTGTTCAGTTGTTCAATATTCATTAATGACGTAACATTTTATAAAATGTTCGCCTAACCCTAACAACTCCAGTTTCATGTGACATTACACAAAAGTTTATGCATTTTGTTTGTTGACTAATTATAACAGTTAATTGTATCAGTTAGTGGGGTTCTGCTCTGTTTTTGTCCAAATATAAAAACTGGTAATGGTTAAAGCATCAATAATAAATCTGAAGGACATAGAAACCAACTTATAATAATAAAATATATCACCACAATTTTAAAGGAGAGGAGGGAGACATCACTATCAGCAATAATTAATAATACAAAAACTGAATTAACCTCTACTAAAGACAAGTTACCCAAAGCATCACACACTCTGCAGGTTTAGCTCCTCCTCCTGTCAGTCTCTCTGAGTTTCAGTGTCATATTTAATGGTTCACACCTCCTCTCCTCATCCTACAGAAGCAGTTCTATAACTTTCCAAGTTCCAAGTCTCAACACACAGTAACAACATGCTGGTGACTCTCTGTGCTCTCGTCACTGCTCTAACATGTATGGAACCTCATTTATACTTCAGATTAGTAGTTATTTGTTGGATTTATAAATGTTTGTGTTTCTCTTGACTTCATGTCTTCATGTTGTTTGCAGGTGTGAGTGGTGTGACGGTGCTGACACAGAAACCTCCTGTTTTATCAGTGAGGAAAGGAGAGACAGCCACCATGGACTGTAACCTGGGGACTGTTGATAGCACTGTCTATTGGTATAAACAGATTCCAGGAGGAGTTCCTCAGTTTGTGCTGTATTTTCATCATAGCTATAGTTCTCCAACCTATGCCTCTGGGTTCTCCTCTCCAAAATTCACATCCACTCATCAGTCAACAACAGATTATCGTTTGATCATCAAGAATGTGGAGGAGGGAGACTCTGCAGTCTATTACTGTCAGACATGGGACGGCTCTGCTGATAGTGGGGTATCACAGTGATTTACACTGTGACAAAAACCTCCTCACTGATACTTCTGCTTTTTTATGCTCTTTTTTTTTCACATGCTGACAAAAGATCCATTCAGATGAAGATGTTCTTCTCATCTGTTTCATAGCCCATCTTTTTGGAGAAAGACATTTCACACATGTTCTTTCTGTGATTGTTGGCAGATGCTAATGCAGTGTTAGTGTTTATTCAGATACCTACTGTCCACTCTAGATAAAGAAGGTCTTTAAAGATGGTCTAAACATTAGTTTATTTTTTTATTATTATTCATATAGCACATTTAATTACAACAGCAATTGACCAAAGTGCTGTATAAAAATACAAAATAACTAGTACCAAATAACTTATAATATTAGTACCAAACACCAAACAACACACAAATAAATATCAAATA